TGACCAGGCTGGTGGGGGCGGGGGGCAGTTGGAGGTGACCAGGCCAGCAGGGGGGGGTCAGTTAGGGGCGATCAGGCAGGCAGGCCAGTGAGCAGTTAGGAGGCAGTGGTCCCGGATTGTGAGAGGGATGTCTGACTGCCAGTTTAGGCCCGATCCCCAGGCTGATATCCCTTCGTCACAACAGCCCTGCTAAGATGAGTGAGGGCCTTCTTGTCTCTGGACTACCTTTTACAAAATGCAGGTGACTGACAAGGTCTCAGTGGAAGCTCCAGAGCCTCCCCTGGCCCAGCAGCCCGGCAGGAGGAGGCCCAGGTGTGTGGGGAAATGTAGGAAGAAGGGGCGCAGCCGGGCCTGGCTGTGACCCAGGAGCCCCCGCAGTAAGACAGTTCTTGCACGGGCTCCGTACGCCAGGATCAGGCCTAAACTGGCAGTCGGACATCTCCTGAGGGGTCCCATTTTGGAGAGGGTGCAGGCTGGGCTGAGGGGACCCCACGCACACACGCGCGTGCGAATTTTGTGCACTGGGCCTCTAGTAATTCTATAAGCATAAAAATATCTACCCTCAAACTCTGCTCCCTTCTACTTTCTTCCCCTCAAAGAGTTTCCCTGTTGAGATATTTTGGCAAAATCAACTAAAGCCAACAGTAGGAAGTAAGGGTTCCAGGGTAAATTATACATAGACTTTCTTGGCGGAAAGAAACAGAAAACTGAATTTATAGAGTTTTCAGGATATATTTTGGGACAATAGATAAGAAAACAGAATCCTAGATTTACAAAGAATTTCAAAGGTTAAAACTTAACTTATATTCAGTTTTTAAAAGTATGAGATTCTATATATAAAAAACTAAAGATAGTTAGCAAAACCAAAGTAAAGCAAAGATACCATGGACCACACAAATGCAAATTTAATCCCTCCTCCCCATTTATCTGGCTCCAGACAGTTATATTTATACATACGAAAAATATCATAACAGGAGGAATAAAGAGTTGAATTTTGCCAACAGGAGAGATAGGTCATTCATCTAATGTGTCTTTTTTTCACCCCTTCCTTCACAGCAACAAAATGGGGTGAACAGCAGCAAACTAGACAGGAAGTGTAAGTGTTATTAAAAAAAAAAAAAAAGGCAAAGAAGGATGAAGATTAAGGGATAGGTAGTCATGGTCAGAGAAGGCCTTTCTGAGGAGGTGAGTTTAAGCAGAGACCTGAGTGAAGATTGAAAGCAAGTCATGCAAAGTTTAGAGCAGAACTTTCCTGGCAGAGGGAATGGAATGGCAAGTTACTTGAGAGTGAATCAAGTTAGAAGGGCTGAAACATTCAGACTGGCTGGAGGAAAAAGGAAGAGTGAGTGGTATGATGTAAGATTAGAGTGAGTGGCAAGGGTTACATAAAGAACCTTTCAGACCTTGGTAAATAGTTGGATTTTTTTAAAAATAGAAATTATTTTATAGGATCATACAGATGACTCTGATCTAAAGCTTGAAACAGCTTTCTAAAAAAAAGTTGTTTAAATATACTCCAAATAATGACTTCACTGAAAATTTCTCCTGTATTTAATGTCCACTACACTTTGAGACATGACAGAGAGGTGGTGTCCTAATGTAAGTTCTACCTAGTGTCCATCATAAGGGGACAGTATTTTTAAAGTGAAAGGTGATTGGGTGTACCCAACTAAAGATTTAATCAACCACTTATTTATAGACAAACTCTAAGCAGAAATAAAACTTTTTTTAGTCTACAAATTCATGCCTGTTCACATATTGTTTCTAATTACATATCTTTGAAAAGGATGGTCTGTGTATCAAATGTACTGGTGTAGTTTCAGATCCTCCTGAAATGATATAACATGATAGCCCAACTTATTTCATTTTGCATTGAGGACTTGCTTCTCTGCCTATCATGTAGATTTTTGTTTCTTCCTTTCCCCATTTCAGCTGACACTCCAAGAAAAGCCCAGCCTCAAAATAATTAGGGACCTAAGTAAGTCCATGGTTTTTTCATTCTCATATATATAATAGGTGTATGCATACATATACATAATAGGTAAACTGTCTCTGCCTAATGAACTTACAAAATTAATAAACAGATGATTAAGGAAAGTGATATACATGCTGTTAATTAAAGGACTTGTAGATGAAGAGCTTTCGTTTTTGACAGAAAAAATGGGAAATGAGAATGTGCCTGATAGGCCTCAGTTTTTCTCATGCATGGTCAGAGTAAAGAGAAAAGAGCCACTTTTGAAGAGTCATGATGATGAAAAACTTCTTAAAAGTAACCAGATTTCAGTATATATTAACCTGCGGTAGGTTTAATTGCAAAGGTCTTGGAGTTTTTGTTTGATTTTGGGGGGAGGTGAGGTAATATTTAATATAAGTAAGACTGAATTGGGCCAGCTGAGCCAAATTAGGGCAATAAGTTACATTATTTCATCAATGAATGATGAAAATAATTTGATACATTTTTTCTTTTATTTCAGGCCTTTTTATGGTTATCATGAGAAGGAAAGACACTTTATGAAGATATATCTTTACAATCCTGCAATGGTGAAAAGGTACAAAGTTAAACGAAATAAAAATATGGATAACTGTCACCTAAGTATTTTAATAATAAAAATACTTGATTGGTAGCCTCTAAATGCTCCTTTTCTGTCTTAGATTTAGAGTTTGTGGAAGTAGATAAGGAGACATGGTGACTGCCATGTATGATCTTAGTGCCCCGTTGGCCAGGTCAGGTGTTCAATACCAAGAGATATTAGCTCTTCAGTGTCAAAGCAAGAGGAATGTGTGAGAGTGAGGCCAGAGTGGAAGGGCTTCTGAGAGATCTCAGAATCCTGTTGACTCCTTGTTGAGTCCTTAGTAAAATTTTATATCCTGGGTTTTTGTTTGTTTTGTTTCTATTTGGTTTTCTTTTCTTCTTTCATTAGGTCTCTCTTAAGATCTATAGCTTATTCTCTCTATCATCCTGGAGCCAGTGTTATAGAGGACAGGAAGAGCACATATAGAGAAGATTTCAGTAGCAGTCTCAGTTACCAATTTCCGGTCAGGGCACATGCCCAGGTTGTGGGTTCAGTCCCCATTTGGGTGTATATAGAAGACAACTTGATCAGTTTCTTTCTCACATAAACATTTCTCTCTCTTTCTCTCTCTCTCTCTCTCTCTCTCTCTCTCTCACACACACACACACACACACATAAACATTTCTCTCTCTCCCTCCCTCTCCCTTCCTCACTCTTTCTCTCTCTAAAATAAATAAAAACATATTTTTAAAAATAAAGTATAAGATATATTAATAGATTTTAAGGTAACAGTACAAAAAAGTTATTGATACGGTTTCAAATTTCACATTGTTGCTAACCTTTAAGAAATTACCACTCCACTCTTTTTCTATGTTGTATCAGAGAAAATCGACATTAATCTGAAAAGGTAATTTAGTTGCTCTTCTTTTTTTAAACTACATATTTGTGTGGGGTTGGATGAAATATCACAGTAGATTGAGCAGAAGCAGATGTGAGAATCCAGCTATCTTCTATTAGAACAGACAGAAATTTGTAAACATGTGAAACAATTATTCTTTTTCTCACTAAATTGTTTTTTGTTTTAGGAAATATAGTTATTTTTTATAAAATAATACTATGTTAACATAATGGTTTGTTATTTTAAAATCAGTAGAAAAGTTTCTTTAAAAGTTATGTTTTAACTTTCAGTATGGTAAGTATTAATGGAAATAAACCACATAAACAAAAGGTCTTTGGTGCTGTAAATAATTTTTAAGAGTGAAAAGAGGTCTTGGGACCAAAAAGTTTTAGAACCACTGGAATAAAGCTCTCGTAATTTCCTATCAAATATCCTCAAACTCTATGTACATTTATTCTCTCCTTTTAGATGCCTATTACAATGAAAGATTCCCCCCTCACCTCCAAAGCTCAAGATCCACCCTCTTTGACCTTTTCTTCTATCAGTTATCCTTCCGCTCCTTCCCCCACACATTCATACTCATGACACATACACTCATACTCATAGCTATTCTCCCTGAAGGATTTATCTATACTTTGTGTATCCAATTTCTTACCTCCCATTCACTCATTAACTTACTCCAATATGGCATCCACCCCAACCATTCTACTGAAATTGCTTTCATTAATGTTGCTAAATCAAATTAACACCTTTTTGTCCTTACCTTTGACCTCATGTCAATGCTTACAGTGTCTTAAAATAATTCTAAATGTTGTGGAGTTTTTCTATATAAACCTCTCGTTTTCCTCATACCTATCTGATTAGTCATATCTATGCCACCTTGTTGGTTCCTCTTTTATCATCTGTGGGGGTCTGGGGTTCCGTCTTGAGCTTTTATCTTTTCTCTCTATACTATCTCCTCACTCTATAGCCTTATCTGCTCCTAGGGTTTTGTTTTTGTTAATCTTTATCTATTGGTCTTTTACATATATATAAGTAGCCTAAATTTCCCTCCAGAGCTCCTGATCAGTATATCAAATAATCTGATAAATAGAACAGCATTGTAGTTAAGGGCTCACAAGGCAGAGAAAATTTGGGTTGAATTTTAGCTCTTCTGCTTTTTATTTGTGTGATTTTGGACAACTTTTTAATCTCCCTAAGATTCAGTTTCTTTATTTCTAAAATGGGGATGGTAGTACCATAGGTTTGTAGTGAGGATTACTTGAGATTAAGCATTTAAAGCACCTAACACAGTATCTGGAGCATAGTATCTAACATTTTTAATACCGTGTTGATAAAATTATTCTTATCCTCTTCATTATCGTTTATTTCCAATATTTTCATAGAAATCTACCTGAATATCCCATTATGCCTAAATCCCAGTATGTCTAAAACTCGGTTTATCTTTATTCCCCATCCACAAAATAAAGCCCAAACAAACCTGTTTCCTTCTGGTCCTTTCTGTTTCAATAAATGCAGCACTATCAACTAGATGCTTAAGCAAGAAATCTAGGCATTGCCCTAACTGGTTTGGCTCAGTGGATAGAGCGTTGGCCTGCAGACTGAAGGGTTCCAGGTTCGATTCCGGTCAAGGGCATGTACCTTGGTTGCGGGCACATCTCCAGCAGGTGGTGTGCAGGAGGCAGCTGATGGATGTTTCTCTCTCATTGATGTTTCTAACTCTCTATCCCTCTCCCTTCCTCTCTGTAAAAAATCAATGAAATATATTTAAAAAATAAAAGAAAGAAATCTAGGCATTATTGTCAACTCCTGTTCTACCTTATCCTTCACATCTAGTTAGCTATCAAGGCCTGACCATTTATTTCTTATATCTCTCCTGAATCAACACATTTCCTCAAAGCTATCATCTTAGTTTTTTCACAATAGCCTCTCCCTAGTGTTGTGCATTCTTTAGCTAACCTGGTCATTTCACTTTCCTGCTGTTCACAGGCAAATTGCACTACCTCTTCTAGTGTCTTAATAGGCTCTGCATAATCTGATTTCTCATTACCTACCTAGCCACCCCTTCTCACTACAGTTCTGTCACCATACCTCACTCAATGGTTTCAGTTCCAGAGTGAAACATGTTTCTCGTGACACTTTGCATGTGTTTCCTATACTTGCCTTGAATAGCACATACACTATTTATAATTGCCTGTTGTTTGTAGGAGAACAACTCAGAGAAGTAATAAATATTAAAATGGTAACATCTCTGAGTAGTAGATTGAGCCATGTATGTATTCTTTAGAATTTTTGTATAATCTTTTAAAAAAATTTCTTAATTTTTAAAAGAAAAGGCTTATTGTAAAAAACTTTTTGACTTTGGCTTTTTCAATATAGTTAGTATTAAATTGGTTTTAGAAGTCAAAATACTCTTCACTGAAGTTTTTGTCATTTTTAGAGCACGTGGCTTTCTTTAAAACTTGATTTAAACTTAATTTCTTACAAAATACAAATTTCTAGTAAAATTGAAGTAAAAAATTTTGTATGCTAATATGATGTGTTTTATTCTCTATTAGTGTAATCATTGTTTCACTTAATATTCTAGGAAACGTAATTTTATGATATAACTTTTCCCCCCCTAATTTAGGATATGTGAACTTTTGCAAAGTGGAGCCATAATGAATAAATTTTATCAGCCTCACGAAGCGCATATTCCCTACCTCCTACAGCTCTTCATTGACTACAATCTGTATGGAATGAATTTAATAAATCTAGCTGCTGTCAAGTTCCGGAAAGCAAGAAGGAAAAGTAAGGTTAATTTTTCAAGTTCAAATTAATGCTTTGAAACAAGAGTTATGTAATTGATAATTTATATAATAATATATATTTATATTATGAGTGCTGAGTAGGTAAAGAATAAAATACACAAAATGGTATTAGCATTTATTAGGAAAAGAATCTCAAGTGAAATTTGTTTTGTAACAGCTTTATTGAGGTATAATTCACATACCACACATTTCACTCATTTAAAATGGAAAATTCAGTGGTTTTTAGGATATTGACAGTTATGCAACCATCACCACCGTCAAATTTAGAATATTTTCAGTATCTCTAAAAGAAACCCTGCATCCTCAACAAAATTCTAGCAAATTGAATCCAGCATTACATTAGAAAGATCATACACCATGACCAAGTGGGATTTATCCCGGGGATGCAAGGATGGTACAACATCCGCAAATCAATAAATGTGATACACCACATAAACAAACTGAGAGATAAAAACCATATAATCATATCCATTCGTGCAGAGAAAGCATTTGACAAAATCCAACACCCTTTCTTGATAAAAACCCTCAGCAAGTGGGAATAGAAGGATCATCCCTCAACATAATAAAAGCCATATATGACAAACCCACAGCCAACATCATACTCAATGGGCAAAAACTAAAACCATTTCCCCTAAACACAGGAACAAGACAGGCATGCCCACTCTCACCACTCCTGTTCGACATAGTACTGGAAGTACTAGCCATTGCGATCAGATAAGAAGAAGAAATAAAAGGCATCCACGTTGGGAAAGAAGTAAAACTGTCCTTATTCACAGATGACATGATACTGTACATAGAAAACCCCAAAGACTCCCATCAAAAAACTACTAGACTTGATAAATGAATTCGGCAATTAACACCCAGAAGTCTATGGCTTTTCTATACACCAATAATGAACTCACAGAAAGAGAAATTTAAAAAAAAAAAATCCCATTTACCATTGCAACAAAACAATTAAGATACCTAGGAATAAACTTAACCAAGCAGATAAAGGACCTGTACTCAGAAAATTTCAGGACGCTAAAAAAAGATATAGAGGAAGACATGAACAAATGGAAGAATATACCATGTTCATGGATTGGTAGAATCAACATCATTAAAATGTCCATACCACCCAAAGCAATCTATAAATTCAACGCAATTTCCCATTAAAATACCAGTGGCATACTTCAAAGACCTAGAACAAATTCTCAAAAAAGTCATCTGGAATAAAAGACCCCGAATAGCTACAGCAATCTTGAGAAAGAAGAACAATGTTGGAGGGATCACAATACCAGATATCAAGCTATACTACAAAGCCACTGTTCTCAAAACTGCCTGGTACTGGCACAGGAACAGACATATAGACCAGTGGAACAGAACAGAGAACCCAGAAATTATGCCACTTTATGCTCAATTAATATTTGACAAAGGAGGCAAGAGCATACAATGGAGACAAAACAGTCTCTTCAATAAATGGTGTTGGGAAAACTAGACAGATACTTGCAAAAAAAAATGAAACTAAACCACCAACTTACACCATACACAGAAATAAACTCAAAATGGATAAAGGACTTAAACATAAGATGGGAAACCATAAAAATCTT